CCCATGTGACCTTCGTCGGTAATTTGCCAAATTGAAAATTCCTGTATTGCATTGCATTGCCAATTCAAATTTCAAACACCATTCTCCTCGGTAATTAGCCAACCTACTCCCTCTAGTAAGCCACTGTTCATAATAGGTAGAGACATGATTCTTGTCGGTAACTAGCCCACCATCCCACCTACCAAGACACTAATTATTATACTTGGAGACATGATCTTCGTCGGTGAATTACCGACGTGGGTTACTAAAAAAGAACTTCGGTGGTACTGTTTCGAGACAACTTTGGACACATGATTTTTGTCGGTAATTTGGAGTCATCTTATCGACGTAACTTTTATCCACATCGGTAAATGAATTACCGAGGCTACTTTCACCGAAGACCCAATTACCGACACGATTCTTATCAGAAAATTACTTTACCGACATGATTTTCTTTTTTACCAACGTGATTTCTCATCGGAGATTTTATGAATTCTAGTAGTGCGTATACATACACAAAGCCCAACCCACAATTGTTTTGAGCTTAGGCCCATCTGTGATATGCCTGTTTTGATTTTTTTTTTTTAAACATAAAAAATTATAAAAAAAAAAAAAAGAAGAAAATTTGTAAGTAATTGGTAAGAATTAAATTTTAAACTAATTAAATCCGAGCACTAAGTTATGGGAACTAATTATTCGGCTCAAAGGCCCGGTTACCCATTTTGATTTTCTTTGTTCTATTCTTTATTTAGTATATGAATCTGAGACGTTGACCATAAGTGGGTATAGAGATGTGCTTGCGAACAACGAAGAGAGACTGTTGAAGGCATTGGCAAGCGTGGCCATTGAGGCTTCTACGTGAGACTTTCAGTTTTACTGCTGCGGGTTAAGTAAATGAATCAAGCTTGAATTGTTTGTTAAGAACTCTGTTTATTCTTTTATATATTAATGTTATAATTTTCATTTGAACTTTGAATCCCAAGAACCTACGATTAGGTTTCTACTCTATATGAATTTATTATGAATAGATTATGAAATTAAAGAAGTTTTTAATATGGTGAGAAAATCTCTGATAATAGAAATATTATGATAATATAATAAAAATAAAGTGAGAGAAAGAAAGACATGATATTATATGATTCGAGATAGTGTTTGGACATCATGATGTATTAAGATTCCTAGTTTAGACCCCTAGTTCATAATACAAAAGTCTCTAAGCTTTTGTATGTTTATTTCTTTTCATTTTTTTTCACATATGAGTAATTTTATTTATAGGGTGAAAAATACATAATATAAAAAAATAATAATTAATTAAAAAAATTTTTATTAATAAGATTACAGTTAATATTAAATTTTTAAAATCAATCAATTGATAAATTGATTCTTATGATTTAATTAATCTTTATAATAGCAAGATATTCCTTTTTATAATCGAATGGTATTCTTTCTTTTTTTTATATATATATTAGGATCGATCACACGATCCTTTTTACTTCCCACAAGTTGGAGCATAGAGATATTAATCGAGTGTCTAACTTCCTTATAAATCACCTTTAAGGACTTGCAGAGAGAACTCTATAAGACGACCAAATCATTTCATCTGGTCTCTTTTGTCGCCGTAAGAAAGTAGAAGGTTTTGTTTTTTCCTTAAGATGACCAAATGGTGTCTTCAATTTGT